AATGTCGTTGCAAGTAATATCCCGTCATCCGTTTAATAATTACAAAGCACAACATACACTATGCTTTGCTCTGAAAACTTTTGCAAAAGAGATCTCGCGCTTCCACACTTTAATGAACGCCATGTTTTTTTCTTTTAATAAATTTCGTGTTCACTTTCAGTAACGAATATTAAATCAATTTATAATACAAATTTTTTTCAGTGAGAACATATTTTTTATTATTTTTTCATTCTATATTTGTTTGTGCAAATTTGTACATTTCACTGGAGTGCCTGAGTTTCATATTTGAGGGCGTTTGCTTTGCCCTTCCATATGAAACTCACGCACTTTCATATGAATTGTGTTTATATGCCAGGACATACGGCAGCTCAGTATATCTGATATATATATATACTGAGTAAGGGAGGGCGAGAATTTTTTTTTTATATTTAAAGTGTAAATTTGTATATGTGCCTATACTTCAGGGCAAAACAAAAACAAATGTGCTACAAGTGCTTATGGAGTGAGCAGCTCTGGTCTAAAGGACTTTTTTCTTAGAATTTTATGTACAATCCGAATCTGCTAGGAACGATGTCGAAAAAAAATTGACCCGCCCTAATGTATATACATATACATATATGTATATTTATTTAATATAACTTTCTATTAATTATTAGATTTCATTATCTTAAAAAGAAAATGTATATTTTTCAATTTAAAACAATGTTTAGGAACTTAGTTTACTTTACTTTTTTATTTTTTTGTATGAGTTCATTGTCTTAAAAAGAAGAATGTATTTTTTTAAGTTGATTAATAAGAAACGCTTTTTATTTTTTTTCTATTTTTTTATTATTTTTTATTTTTTTCTATTTAATTCTTTTTTGGGTTTCTTTTATTACTTTTTTGTTTTTTTTCAATTTAATTTTCTTTTGGGTTTTAGATTTTGTTATTTTAAAAAGAAAAATATATTTTTAATTTCTTTTAATTTTTAGGATTTTATGTCATTTAATTTTAAAAAATTTTTTTTTTATATTTTTTAATTTCATTTTCTTTTAATTTTTAGAATTTGTTTTAAACATAAAAATAGTTTTTTTCCGGTTTTGAAAAGAAATTTGACACAAAAACAAAAACAAATATTTGGCCTTAATTAAGTGATTATTTTTCAAACAACAAAAATGTTGTGAGAACGTAGGAAATTCGTTTAAAATATTTTCCTACGAATGAATACCCAATTTCCCTGACAGTTCTATCATGCTGCTGCTCCTACACTTTACTGCGTGCTAAGTTTATCTCCTCATAAATTAAGAGTCTCGAAAAATATAAATTGAGACCACAAAATAGCTCTGATCCAGTACTATATGAACTTACAGGTTTCTACACGAACTTGCAGGAAGTTACAGGAAAAATGATCCCGTACTCCAAAATCCTCCAAAATCCTGTAAATGAGAGCGATTTTCAGAGAGTTGTGTAGAGAATGAAGTTGCAAGATTTTACCCGAACTTTTTCTTCTGGTAAAAGCATGAAAAGTGTCAAGCGATCACTGGTTGACGTTTTTCAGGAAAATTGCCTTTTTTTTTTGTTCCTGTACTTTTTGTTGTTACTCACTTTTTACGCTCATTTCGGAGAGTAATTTTGCTGTTTGACATTTTTACAGGATTTTACACGAAAACTATTGGATCAGAGCCAATGATTGCTGTCCGAAAGTTCTCTCGACCTCCAAGAAAGCACACAGAGGTTTTTTAAAAGCAAACTGAATAGGGTGAAAGACAGATAGACAAATAAAAGCACGGGTATGTCAGAACAAGAGACACTGCGACCTGAAAGGTCTTTTGTACCTTTAAAGCAGTGATGCTCAAAACAGCGCCCGCGGTCGGAACTCTTCAAAACTCTCTGTAGATTTTATATGGACGCGCACAGAGTAAAAGCTCTATCTGAGCATCACTGCTTTAAAGAGAGTTCCTAACCCAGTATGCCCAAGACAGCCTCGCTTCCCTAATGAATCCTAAGACGCTTTCGTAGTCGAATTCCTTATTACTAAGGGGTTGACTATTGGAGCTTTGAAATAAATTAATCTTTGTCTAGCCAAGTCCGGACCGTCGCAAAGAATGTGTTCGGAAGTTTCCTCGTCCTCAAAACGGAGCCAGCATTCTGACTCTTGGATAAAACATTTTTAATTGAATAATAACCGTTCTAACCGAAGAGCCTAGCCTGTCTATGGCCATTGTATGGGAATCAGAAGTAGTAGTTTTTAAATAATGTTTACAAGTATAGTGATTTAAACTGTCCTGGAAATAAGGGAAAATATGATTTAAATATTTCAATTAGCCTCCAGCTACTGTAAAAAAAATGTATACTTATTTGCCCCTTACATTTCGAAGCTAGCTTCCCCTCTAATTTGTCGTGTTCGTCCTAATATTGTCAAATAAATATTTCGCTGTGTTCATTGGTCCTTAACTATGTACATGAATCTAATAAAAACTTTTCTGGAGCTAATAGTAAAACCCAATCGTGTGAAAATTGAGTATTTTAGCTTCGTAACCTGGGCCTGAATCGCGGTATTCGTAAACGAGAGACTACAAAGTGACAGTTGTTTTATCCACTATGCAAATTGCACTCGCTATCGAATGCTGTTATCTTACAATCAAAATTTCGATTCGAGTCAGTGTTGGGCGTTAATCAATTAATTTGTCAATCATCTTGTTAATTGATTAAGAAAATAAATGCAATAAAATTTATTGCAACTAAAATTTTAATTGCGCATTGCAATTAAATTAATTGCAATTAAACTTTTAATTGCACACGGCAATTAATTTAATTGCAATTACTTTTTTGATAACAGTTAACCTGCTTACAAATAAAATAAAAAATACGGCAAACCAATTAAAAATTTGTTAAATGTTAACTGCAGAATATCACAATAAACAATTAATTGTCCTTACAATTAAAACTTGCCCAACAATGATTCGAGTTACGTTCGATATCGAATGCCGAGATTTTGAACCGGGTTTAAGATAAATTAAATGTAACTTAATGTAATTAATTCTTGGCTCGTCCTACACAGGTATTGCGAATTGATTGCGGTCGCTACTTAACGCCAAAGGATGCAGAAAATTTGGTTATCAAATTGGGTCCCCCTCCTGAACTTTGCAAGGTTGAAAAATATGTCTACTTTCTACGTCCAGATGACGCACACATACTCGCCTACGACATAATTGAACAGAAGTGGCAGCGACGCGCGCTGAATAGTCGAAAGTTCCAAGGCATCATCGAGACACCATTTCCAATTAAACCAATTGACATCGCATTCGGTCAGCAACGTGAACTACTTTTCGCCGATGCGGATGGCAAGTTGTATGCAACACCAAATTCACAACTGAAGAAGAAGTTGAATAACGCTCCTCTCAAACTAAATTCAAATAAAATCGCAAAAGAATTCACCGAACAGCAGACGCAACATGAAGAGGAGGTGGAGGTGAACGACAAATCGAATACTATTGAGCTAGAGCTGCTGGGCAGCTTGTTGGGCCCCAGCAAGGGAATGATGGTAGATAGCCGCACGGGAGCACTCTTCTATGCAGTGCCTAAGTTTGGTGCAATTGTGCGTTGCGACTACCATCGCAACTTAACTGCAGAAGACAATGAGATCGTTTACTTCACTTCAAAGAACATTAAACAAATTTTCTTTGGCATAGAGGGAGCAGTTTGGTTGTTGACAGACCGTGTGCTGCAGCCGGATGATCACTGTTTTGCGTATTTTTGACACGCTTGAAGACATTTTCTAAAAATAGCTGATTTCACGGTGCGACAGCGAAAATATACCAGAAACATAATATAGTGCAGGTTTTAGGTAGGCTCGAATACAACCTCATTTATTTTGTTATTAAAAAAAACTGTTATTTTCGTACTTAATGAACTCGTCTATATATTAGTTGAGTATTTCTTATCCGATTTTAAAAATCAAACATGGTTAGGAAAGATATTTATAGACCTATTTTTTTATTATTATTATTTTATTAGATACAAATAACATGGGTATCTAATTTAAAATAAGAGAGTACTAGCTGCCAGGGCTTACCAGTCAGGCCTATTTTGTTAGATTAGTTTTTCTGACCTTTTGTACATTGTGGCTAAAGAAATCTTTAATATTTACTTAAATCTCATATCTACAATGCCTCTTTAGCAACAAATCGTTTTAATAAAATGTTTGGCAACTGTGCTTGGCATCGCCCATTTCAATCAAATACGTATATCTTGAAAACCACTTCACCAATCTGTACCAAAATTGATATACACATTGCGTAAGTGGGTGGGGGCATGACCAGTATCTAAAAATTGTATGAAACAGAATTTAAGAAAAACCTGCAACCTGCACTGTTATGTTTCGGGTGTATCTGTTTTTGTTTTTTTTTTTTATAGCACTATGTTATTGGCGACAGTCCATAATGAATACTTTAAAAATCGAATCTTTTATTTCAGATAATAAGTTTTATGTGTTACATAACAGTTCACTCATTTGATTTGGTATTTTTTCTATATATAAATTTATGTAAACATTCATGCTTTACTTTGTTTTTGTGTGCAATTTTTAACTAGAAAAAGGTAAATTTCAGTTTAAAGAAATTGTATTGGTTCCAATTTTTTAATGTAAAGCTTGTAATTCAATTTATAATAGACAACAACATTATGTATTTAAGGATGGGCAAATATTGTCTAGCCGAAAATTGCAAAATTAAGTAATATTGAAAGATATAATCTATATTAATATAAATATAACTAAAAAAAGTTTTAATTTTTGTGGCAAAAGTTTAAAAGAAGTACTTAAATAGGAAGTGTACCGTACAACTGCAATATACAGGAATTGGTTTGAGGTGGAAGTGACTCTGCGGGGTTAAATCGCATTTCCTGCAGTTGTCGCGATTTTGTGGCAGCAATTTGTGTGCTTTCCTCTTCAATCGCACATACCATTTTTGTATTATGATCCATTCTATGGCTTACACATTTAATTAAAATAAAATCTCTTCTTCATATCTGTGCTGTTTTTCACTAAATTCATTTAATTTCGTACAGTTTGTTTGTTCAAGTATCCCATTAAAGCCTGCAACCGCTTCTTGATATTTTTCTGATCGTCGAGCGTACAACCCAGTAGAGCACTCTCGAATTTCTTATCTATTGGACCAGCATCCATATCGACGCCATATTCATACGATGCTGCCGACTCCGCTGCACTGCAGCATGCATTCAGGTATTGTTGGCAACGCTGGCGTGCCATTACTGGATCGCCCATTGTGATCATCAAATCGATGAGTTCGTTGATTTGACTGAGCGCATCTTCTTGGGAGCGATCGCGCACCGTGTGCACCATTAAATCGACGGTGGAAAGACGCGCATTTACGCGCTGTATGTAGCAAAAGATTTCCTCGCGTTCAGCTGAAAATATTGAGATATAATAATTAACAGTTATTATACTATATGTAAAGTGAATCACTTACCCTCCATCATCGACTGTAGCATATCGTGACTCTTGATCAGATCAATAGACATGAGCAGAAAATCCTTTTTCTCCTGCAGGCCCAATGCATCTTTGCGAAATTTTTCAACGCGGGCATCCAGTTGATCTAACACTGAAACAAATCTAAATACAAGTAATTTGTTATTTTATTAAACAGAGATCATTGTGTCAAAAATGTGTAATTGCAAAAAAAAAGTATCTAGTAAAGAAATCAACAGCAATAAACGAAATTTACCTTTCGTTCAGGTTAAAGGGCCTGTTTATCATAATTGTTACAGTGTGACATTTTATGGTGAGACAATTGAGTATTTGATGGTATTTGTTTTGTAGGCAAAGATGGTGGTTGGTTATTTGATTGGTTGGGAAGTACGTCGATTTACATACATACGATTAAAATGAGAAATAAAATAAAAAGAAATATTTGTAAATATTGTTTAGTGAAAAAAGCCGTACTACATTTTATACTTAAGAATAAATATATAAAGTGCGATAAAAATTAATGGGGAATCCACGAAATAAGATTAATGTACTTATTAAATTCCCAATAGCTTTGTTAGTGCAGTACATTTTGGTAAACGATTGTAACTAATTAAGAAACAAGACCAAATCACGCTATTGAACGGCATATAGTATAAGTCAGTATTTTTGTTATTTGGTTAACTGTTATATGTAAAATTTAAGTACAAGGCAGACAAAAAAGGGCATGTTTGGTTTTATTATGCCTAAAGTTAAATTTAAAGTTTAACTATACAAAGTCTATATGAAGCACCATCCTTAAAGAATATGTAAATGTTTAGAAACTCGTTTACCATAATATAATTTTGTTGACCAATCTATGTGCGTACATACATACATATCGCAGAGTTCTTCAAAAGTGTAATAACTCAAAGTTCCCCGTTTATCAGATGATGCAAAAAAAAATTATTTTCAAGTCCATTTTAATCAGATGGGGAGGAAGACTACTTTGGTTCTTTTTAACTTTTACTTTCGTTTTTGCTGGATGGTAAATATGCGGCTGTGAACATTTTTAGCGCTTAATATCAAAAAATGAAAATTTTTAATTAATACACTTTTGAAGAATGTGTGTTTTGTAATGTAAGCTATAGGGTGTTCGCGATCACCCGTCCTTATACGGAATTATGAAAACGAAAGTGTGCTGTGAGCTTGATTTACGCGCGCTCGTATCAACTATTTAAATCACTGAAAACTGCTATAATTATATGTAATACCCACACACTTTTTCAAGCAAGCCCATTTCACTTACATAAGTACATATACACATACATATGTAGATATTCATATATATGTAGATATGTAAAGCGCAGTTTAAAGTACAAAAGCGCGTATCGTGGTTCTGCAAAACCTCGTAAC